CATGGTCTATGAATGTAGTTTTCTTTTCGTTCCTCTATAATTTCTTCTTCTTGCTATTTTATATGTTATTATGGAGGCCACTGTGCTTTTAGTAATCTCTGTATTGTTCTGTTCTAGATTATATTCTTGTAGTATCTTTTCTTGGTCCCAGATCTGTGCCTGCACCATCTGTCTCTGAGCTCTCTTGTGGCTTAGTCCTTTCGACTCTTCTATATTCTCATTTTCTCTTGACATTTCATCTGTTATGCTTTAATTTTTTCTTTATTAGACATTGTGTGTGTTTCCTGTTCTCTAATTCATTATCTCTATATCTATTTTTTAATTTATATATTCACTATCTGTGTTACTTTTCTCTATATGAAGTATCAAAACCATCTTCTTATATATAGATCAGAAGAGTAATGGATCAGCTAGTGTATTATTATATTGTTAGTGTCATCTATGTCAAGGGTTCTTATATCTATGTATGATTTTTTTTTTTTATATTTCATTTCTAGAATACGGATTTTGCAAAAATTTCGTACCATGTCAGTTTTTTTCTGTCAAGATGGGGTGCGCATTGTACATAATGGAAATAAAATGAAACTTTTGATTTTAGCAAGCATGGCTGCAATTATGAAACAAAGGTTTTTTTATGTGAAAGAATTTAAAGCGTCTGAATACTTCCGCGTACCCACTTATCTAATCTTATCATACTTATTACAACAATACGTTACGTACGTTACGTCACTACGCTATGTATTAATGTAAACCATTTCAATCTGTTTTGTTTGTCGTGAGGATGTTGAACAGATATCTTATTTAGTATATTGAGCAATTGTTAACATCCAAACAAACCAAATGTTTTGTCGCTTAAATCCTTATAACCTAAACCTTTATTTGTGAAAACCTGAATTGTTATATTCTTAGCTCAATAAAGTTGTTTAAAATTGATACCCACTAATACTATAAAACACCTGGTAGGCGGACTATGCATATGAAGGGGAACCGTTTGCAATATCGTCTTATAGCCCTGCAAATAATACCCGCAGGCCTCTATTGGGCTCAGAGGAGAGAGCAGTGGCCTGAGAGTAAAAACCTAGGGCGTTTAAAGCATAATACCAGAAATGCCACGAGTAATAACTAGGAAGAGTAAAGAACTCAATTATGTAATTAAAAATAACATTGTTGCTGATAAGTAGCTTCAGTGACGATTTCGAGTCACACTGACGTTAAGTTTTGTCGTATTGTGTATGTGTGACTGTAAAACTTAAGATAGTAAAACAGTACTTAACGTCAGGAATTTTCGGTAATTTTATGGAAACTAATCACTAAGAGGTGAGAAGCGTGGTAAGAAGAGGGCTGCTTTATTAATAATCTTTTTGAATTAGAAATATGAGTTCGTTTGACTTTACATTTGTCAAGTGTAATCTAAACAAGTTGTGGACTTTATTATTTTTTTATTAAAGGATTACTGTGTGTGTATAGCATACGGTTCAGTTATGCGATATGTACTGGAAGCACGCGCTTCCTCTCTACTACCTGGTAAAGAGCATGAACAACTCAGGATGTACAACTGTGTCCTTTACTCCCAAGAACATGCTCTTTTGTCTGTTAAGGATAATACTCCACCACAGAGAAAACAAAGAAGACATTTTATCAGGCAGGTAAGGCCATGAGCGCGGAAGCTACTACTTCTGAGCTGCTTTCCCTTCTCAATCCGACCTGCTAAAACACACACACAAAAAAAACTGAGCCTAAGTTGCCACATTTGTCCTGATAGTGCCGCAATTAAAATTAACGGCCAACCATCGTGAAATGGATTGTGTGAGGATACATTCACCAAGAAAGGTTGAAGTAAACTGTTTTGAGGTACTTTCCCCTCAGAGCCTGTTGCTGCTTGTAGATGCGTTAGTAGTTCAGCTCTATAAAAACAGGCCTGGAGATTAAACCCTTCCCTCCCCTCTGGTGTGTATTGTAAGATCGCGTTCGCAGAAGATCGAGTTGAGCACCCAACAAGCCTGAAAGGCTTTGTTTACAGGATTGCACTCTGATTATAACATCAGCGAGATCCAAACTACAGCTTATCTAACCCCCAGCCCGTGCCCTCCGTCTCCTCAGTATCACACCAGCCCCAGCCCCACCCACCCTGGTCACAACTCTGCATCCTCCCAATCTTAAAAGAATGAGCTCTCGTCTTGCATAAGATGTACTTCGTATGCGTGCAAAGATGGAATGGATGGATGATAGACGTATGGATGGAAGCAAGGAAGCAGTCAGAGATTGTGGCCAGCAGAGAGGCAGCCCGCTCTCATCAGCTGTTCTATCCACAGGTCTGGTTTTTAATCTGTTGGAATCGAACAGTCTGGGATCAG